AAAAAGAGAAGGAAGAGGCCACCCAAGAAACACAGCTGACTTAAGCATCTGAACACATGATGGGAAACTCCCTGTGTCTTCCCACGCAAACCTGAACTGATTGAAATTCCTTGAGAGCCCATATTAAAGGAATATTGCAGCATTTTTCAACCTGATCTCTGTTTATCATATTTGTAGCATAAAGTCAATACTTAGAGGAAAACAGAAAAACACACACATGGCTGAGACTAATGGGAAGGTGCTGAATAGTCTTGCAAGTTGACGTCAAACAATTTGGTAGGTTTTGTCACTCAGCATGTGCAAGATCCACCAGAAAAAGCCCATTTGAATGACATGCAAACCAACCAACTGCAGACTAATGTTTTAGCAGTACATGGGAGGCAGATTCCAGTCAAAATGGTGCTACAACAAAAACAGACCCTCTTGAAATTAAGTAGTATTCCTGTCAGTAAGCATGCAATACACACTATATTTCCAAAAGTTCTAATCATTCAACATCAGTATCTGACTATGCCCTTGTGGCTGAATGCAATCAAATCCAAATGTGAAGTTGTCCCAGAAGAGTAAAGACTGTTATGGCAGCAAAGGAGGACAAACTTCCTGTTAATACGCTTTTTGGAAGAAACATTGTAGGTGTATACCAAGTTCTAGGCATATAGTGTATCTTTTTTACCTTCAACTAACTTTTATAACTTGACTAACTTTAATAACAACAAATGCTGTGAACTTTACAAAGTTTTTCAATCTAGAGAGTATATCGAGCTCTGAAAAACTGACTGTTATCATGGTATGCAGAGATATTTGCTTGCTGCTTCAGCTGAGATATAATTTAGCTTGATAAACAGAAGTTTGTGCCCATTGGACTGATTAAAACCAGTGTACAGAAGTGTATACACGTAGCAGCTGAGACTAAGATTACAGGCTGAAGCAGCTGCCTATTGGCCTTGATTATTTTACTTATTTTATGAAGTACATGTAAGTGAATCAGATTTATTATATGTGGTAATTGACTGTACGCTACAGACACAGAGAGATTAACCTAGAGATTATGTCGAAAAACACTAGAGTATTCCTTAAAGCCCAGAGATTTTACTTAAGATACAGATACAGTGGTTAATTTCCTCAGCATAGACTTCCAACCTCAAAGAGAAGGAGAGAGATCTCAGTAGAAACAAGGACGTGATACAGGAGAAGGAAGAGGAGAAAGAAAATCCCAGGAGTGAGAACATCAAAGCATGCAGTGTGGCATAGAGGTCGATGTCTTAATCACATCTCCCCTGGTGACGCCTCTCATTCCAAAATGATAATCCATCTGCCCTTGCCTCCTCGATAAACTCTGAGCAGATCGATTGCGTAGTGACAAAAGCGGCCAAGCAAATAGGCCGAGGCATCTCTGCTGAACAAAGACTTTCCGTACTCCTGAACTTCGCCCGTCAGCAGCCACCCTGCTGGTGCCCGGCCAAGAGGTGGGCGGCGGTGCTGCCAGATGGGCTATTGACTGACTGTCCCTCACCGATCATATTAACTTACTGTCACTTTCAGAACATACTGACTGACGTTTTTGTCCTGTAGATCATATCAGATAACTGGCCCTTGTGTAAGCACACTTCCTGCCTGTCCATTGACTTGATAATGGTAGCTGACTGTGAAAGCACAGGGTATCAAATCATTAAAGGCAGATTCTTTTATGTTCTTGTGAAATGAAAGCAGGCTGATGATCAAAGTCTAAAGTGAGATTTTCTGGTTACGGTCAAGCACCAGTCACGGATGTTTGAACTTACTGTATTTTTCAAATGTTTCAGACATTTTACATTGTAAAAAAAGAATGAAATTGTGTCAAGTAACATGCATTTAAGATTAAGAAAAAAATGGTTTAGTTGCTGTAAATATATGGTTAATGACTGCTATATATACAAAATAGAGCTATATATATAGAAATATCCTTGTGACAAAAATTGAATAAATAAAAGTTTTTAAAGTTTTCATACATTGGAAAACCATTTTTAATTAAATAATACATTTTTGACATAGCACAAACATTGTTAAACATTGTTAAAATGTACTATTCACTTCTCAGTTCATATGTGGAAACTAAGCTGCAAAAAGACCCATTGTGATATTACAAAAGCTAGTGCTTTTGCATATACATAATCACCACCTGCCTATTATGCTGTTGGTGGTCTCTAAAAGACCTGTGGAGGTGCCCTGTGGTATCTGACACCAAGACATTAACAGCAGATCCTTTAAGACCTGTGAGTTGCGAGCCGGAGCCACCACAGATCAGACTTGTTGTTCCAGTACATCCCACGGATGCTTGATTGGATTGAGATCTGGGGAATCTGTGGAACAACTCTTCATTAGGTTCCTCAAACCGTTCCCAAACAATGCATGCAGTTTGTTACCATTTATACAATGTTAATTGGTGAATATTATCTTCCATTCCTTTTTAGCTGTATTTGCCTTTTAGTTCCAGTGCAATACTAAAGAGCCAAACTTCAGACACCAAAGATATCTTGTCTAAAAAAATGTGTAAACTTGATTTTTTGCCGAACTATTTCATTAACAGCCATCCAGCAAGACTGAGTGCTGCACAAATGGCAAATAAGATCTCATAGGCTGTCAGAGTCAGCGATCTGGATGGCTCCTTCTGTCAGTGAAGGAGAGAGACTATTTCCTGTGCAGGATCAGATTAAAGTGCCGTGCTGTGGGCCAGCTCTGTCTGCAACACAGTGATGGATTGCGTGCTTCACTCTCCACAAAGATCTTTAGCCTCAGCGGCTTTGAGTTTGATCAGCTGTGAATTTGCTTAAGCTAATCAGCATGATGACATGAACGAGTCAGCAGCAAGCTCAAAGGGCCAACACTGAGTCACCTGCTGCTTTTAAATTACAGCTTTGTGAACTTGATCAGGATGGTGCTGGGTGATATTGATACAATATATTCAATATATCAACATATCAGTATGAATATCAATATATCAGTTTTGTTTAATATATCACAGTATCAGACTGTATTTAAAGGGCCATGGAAACCAAAATTTAAAAAGTAACCATATATCTCTTGTAAACATACCCACTCACATCTTATTGTGTGCCACAATAGTGTCTAAAGTGAGATTTTCTGGTTTAAAGAGTAGGAAAACTCCCTTCTGATGATGTTTTTTTTTTAAACTGCTTGGAGTGGATTTTCCAGGGTGGCCTATTTAAAATGTGTTTTCTTTCTTATTAGCTTGTGAATGCACAAGAAAGCCAGGGAGCTAACATTACAGGAAGTTGAATATCTTATTGCAGCTGTCTAACTGTAGTAACTGTCTTTAAAAATCGTCTTTTCAATGGAGAGAATTGATAAATAAAAATGATTCTCTAAATCTAGCAAGATAGCTACCTGGCTATCCAGATAACTTACATAAGCTTGACCTCAATTCTCTGGCAGAGGTTAAAAAAAGAGTAAAAAATGGTATTTGGTATCCATTTTGACCTAAATAAACTTAAAATCACTGTTTTCTTTTGTGATTTTGTTCAGTTACAGAATTACACTAATGCTAGCTTGACTATTTACTAGCGTGTGGATCAGTGGCTAGGCTGACAGTCTGAATTAATTGACTCTGAAAGGATTCCCAGTGGTTGTGATGATGATGTACTTGCCTAATGCATGCTGAGTATTGCAGTGAGAGAAGATTACTGAACAAAAACATGAAAAAGACATAAAATAGTAAATTCTGGCTGAGAGATGCTGCACTATGCAATACTGCACAACACAACAAATAACATATTAAACTCACATGCTTTCTCAATACTCCTACTTTGTGCCAAAAGAATATCCTACAAACCTGACATGCCTTGAATGGATGTTTTCTACTTTTACAATGACACATAAGGGAAACTTACACTGTATTAAACAGACAGAAAACACATTTCTAGAAACTAAACTTACTGTCTATTTAGTTTTGATGCATGTAGAACTGCTCTTTTAAAAAATCTGAAGCATACAGCAAATGGCAAAGTTGTTTTTGGACTGCAAGTAACCTTTATTTTTAAGTGTGTGGCACGAGAACCATCTATAACCTGAGCTGAATGCAAATAATCATAATGATCATAATGGTGTTCCTGTCACTCTTCACTCCCCAACACGTTTTAATGAGTGTCCGTGGAAAGGCAACCTTGAGAACGGCAAAGTCACCTGCAGATTTTTTTCTCTGAATTCTGTAGGCTACATCCCAACGTCAGGAACAGCAAAGTCAACCGAAACAGATGATCATGCCAGAAAGTTTTCAGTTCCAAAAGAGTTTCAGCTGCATATAAAGAGTGTAAATGCTCGGCCTGTTTGGTGCTACTGAAGGGGCCTTATACAAATATGCAACTCAATCTACAAAGTGCTGAACAAGGCATTAGTTTGGAGTGTTGTAGTGCATTTTGAACACGGAGTGGCGTTTAGTAATATGAATTCCGTCCAGAGAAATGCATTTGAGCAAACCCTCAACATCAAATCGCACATTTTGGAACAATAATTTTCTTTTTGCTTGATTGCTTCATTTCCTGGCCTTTATCTCAACTGCAGTGATTTGCCGATGACGGTTTCATTCCCCGAACGTCTACATATGCAATTATCTCAAATGTCAATCACGTTTCATTGGCTTTCTCATCTGTAAACACTGTGTATGTGTCTCTTCTTGTATACTAGTTGAAGGGTTTTATTCTACTGCTTGAGACGTCAACACTGTAAATTTCACAGGCTTAATAATTCATATCAGCTCTACTTCTGGGACGCGGCAGTGGAATGAATTAATAACGCAGTGAATGGAGTTTTTTTTTCTTTTCATTCAGTAATTTATTATGTGTGTGTAACTAGGGGCGTGGATGCTGTATGTATGGCTTGTATGTCCTGCCCTCAAAACGCACACATTGGAATCATTGTTGGATTACTTGCAGATTGCAACCAAAGTGAGAAAAATGAGAACTCATGTGAAATCAATAAAAGCATACGATAGCTGTTTCATATTTTTATATATTTATTTCAAGGTAATGGCTACAATAGAGTACTCTTGTGCAATACAGAATATTCTGTTACTACAGAAATACAGCAGCCTTCTATGCATTGTAATGTTGGACATTTAAAGACACATAAGCAAAACTAATCAGACAGCATTTTCCAGTTTAATGCCACAGAACACCGCTTGGTCCTCAAGAAAGACACCAATAAAGTTGAAAGAAAGGACAAATATTATATGGTGGAATAACTTTAACTACTGACGTTCAAGAGGTATTTTTCTTGATGGAATATGTCTGTCTGATCTAAGGACACTCACCCTTGGGTATCCTCAGATCAGACAGTTGTTGGACCCTCTAGAAGCTTATGTACCTTAGTTTGTTCTACAACTCTTTCCTTTAGTAACAGAGGTATGGCCTTATTTCCTACATTCATTTCTAAAGTACCAAACATTTCTAATAATTGATCATCTCAAGGCTACTTTGGCTATTAAAACTGAGTTATTACTATAGTTAGGAGGCAGAGGGTGGGGGGGTTACTCTATTTTTCTCAAGGTGAAAAAAAGGGTGGTGGAAAACGAATGCTGCTTCTGGCTGCATGTCTGCTAGGCAACAACAGCGTTGTAACTGTCAGTCAGCTGTGCTAGAAAGCTGTAGTTTCAATACTGTGAACTACCGAAACGTGGTGCTGCTAGCAAAAACAAGCTATTCTAAAAAGTAAAATTTCGGTCTGGGAACATTGCAACTAGCCAAACTCTCCTCCGTTACAACTATCACTAAAGGCCTGCCTTCTCTTTTGATTTGTCAGCACAGAACTTGACTGTTTCGAGTTGTTTCTTATACTCAGGGCCCAGAGCTCTCTTCACAAAACGTAGCCATGCAGCTGCATAAACATGAGACATCCAGCTCAAAAACAGCACGAAAAACATGTAAGTCCAATTGAAAACAATTAAAAAAAGACAACTCGGCTCCCAAAAATGTGTACAGTGTGAATCCCTCTTAGTAGGCTAGAATGTCAAGCAGTCAAGCAGCAAAATGCTATTAGTTAGGTAGTCTTTTGTGAAATATTTCTTGTAGGCACTTGTCTTTGCAGTATGTTTTCTACAAGCATCCACAATGGTTTTCTTTGGTTACAATTACACTAGTATTTGACTATTGTAATCTGTATTGTATTTTTATACTTTTGCTGTAAGAACACTAGTAAGAATTATACTGAAAAAATCAAGTATCTCATGCTTGTGTATTTGTTCCAAGGCTTTAGAATGAGAATGTATAGCATCGACCATTAAAATACACATCAGAAAAGCCTAATGGGTTCTATGTATCTGCTTAAGGCTGACTGTGTGTGTCTAATACAGAGTGTACAGTACAATCTGAAATGTGAAACAATGAACAATTTGTTAGTGTGTTTTGAGAATCCATTGTGTGCACAATAGAGGTCTGCACCTTTGAAACCCAACGCGACCAGGCACAAGTGGTGCTGCTAAATTTGAAACCTGAATCTGCACCGAACCTGCCTGCAGATATGGATCTACAGTGCTGTGTTCGTTACTGAGCACTTGAGTTGATTGACAGAAAATGAACTAAAAAACTTTATACACTTATCTGAAAGCCAAGCTAGTGCATGAAAGTGTTCTGACACTAATATTTCTGGCTAGAAGCTGCTGCAGTCAGTTTGTCAGTGAAGAGACAACATGCCAGTCCTTTTGCTATCATAGTTCTAAATACTACCGCAAGCTCTATACTGTCCATGACAAGAGTGCTTTTAATCTGCTATAACGAACAGATCATAATGGTTCCCTGACTCATTTGGAGTTTTAAAATGAGATTTCTTTTCATTTCATCCATGGCAAAGTTAGTAAGGCTGCCTATGCTGTGCACATACTATGCTAGACCAGAGGAAGATCAGAAGGTGAAACATTAATTAGGCCTATTCCTTCAAATGCAATACAATATACTACATAAAAGATCACTGGTTAAAAAAGCACAAATTCCAACTGGATTGTACGTTAAAAAACTTGATACCTGATAAATTGGGGCTTAGTTCAGGTAGCAGACCTCTACTGCACAGTGAATGCACTTTCCTAAATGCTTGGTTGTTTTAGCAACCACAGTGTTGAACTGGTCTCTTTACTGAAAAAACATAAAACCACCTTAAATGTAGACAATACCTGTAATATTATAAGACTATTAACCATTTTTTTAGATATTTTTATTTTTTTACTTTATTCAAGTAACTTTCTCAAGTTAAATTATTTGGCTAATGGAAATAAAATGATCTGTAAGTGCAGTTAATGACAATGTCATGTGACAAGGTATATTAGTTATAGACTTTTATCTAAGGTCTAATAATGTCATAATATGTAGTGGACACTGTGTAGTAACACTGGTCTTAAAACTGGTCGTTCCACAGCAGAAAGTTGCTGGAAGACTGTCAGTCATGGAGCGTTACCTTAAGCAATAAATATGTGTTGTCTGTAGGTAACCCGCCACCCAGGAGGATAATCAGCTTAGAAAATGTGTGCGTGTTTGTGTGTGTCTGTAGGTAGTCTGTCAGGTAATGATCATTTTAGTCAAATCAAATCATAAAGTGTCAGATCAATGCCAGTTGGTGCAGGTAAAAGATTATAATAAACTACTCTTTACTAATACAATATATTCTGTGATTCTGTCATTAGTGCAATTATATCTTTGCAGCATTCTACATATGCACATTCGCAGTTGCATTTTGTTTATGGTTAAGTAGCAATGATTGCTCAGGCACCAAGGAATGGCTAGGCTACATGTTAGCCACCACATGACTGACCAGCCGCTGGAAGTCTTTAGTGCGCTTGCGGCCGATCTCCAGCACCTCTTCGTGGTTGGCGCGTTCCTCACTGTCATAGGTGATGACCACCTTGTTGGTAATGAGAGAGAGGCCAAGAACACGCAAGCCACAGTGACGTGCCACCACCACTTCAGGAACTGTACTCATCCCTGCAGAACAGTCAGAATGAGAGAGAGAGCCCATGTTTCAGCTGTGATGTCCAAAATTATGCCCTATAACAGAGGTCTCAAATATGAACCTTAAATCCTTAATCCAGGATTTTATAATTATCATCCGGATTCAAAGTCCTCTGTGCTGTAAGGTATACTGTTTGTTTATTATCTATGCTGGTGCACTGTGCAATTGTAAAAGTGCACTGGATGTTTTCAAACTATTATTTTACTCATTTTTAGACACTGCTACAAAATATAAGCTCCATTTAGTAAATAAAGAGGAATAAAAAATAAGTTATTGTTTCAACTTTGTCAACATGAATGGGAATTAACCTATATGAACACTTCTTTAGATGATAGGTGGGGTGGTGGGAGGGAAAGGTGAAACATAAAATTATTGGTTAATATTATTTTTCCCCGCCCGCTAGTTTTCGAGGCTGGCAAAAATGATACGATGAATGCTTAATATGAGTAGGGACATGAACATGAAACAAAGGTCAGTTTTGATTTCAGGTCTCATATTTTTACCTAGCATTTTTATATTCTGTGCTGAGGTTAAAAAAAAGTTACATAGACCAACATATTTTAAGTTGGAATAATCCACTTAGCCATTAGCAATGAAATGTGACCACTATGGCAGAGTGATGAGCAAACCTGTTTCAGTCTAGTGCTCCTATCCAATATACAATGAAAACAATGATTTACTGAACTGATTCAAATGTGTACATCATCTCTATAAATATATTCCATCAGCACATTTATGAAACAGATAGAAGTAAGCAAATCAAAAGACAAATTAGTGATGTAGTATATTTAAATCACATGGAAATGATGTACATGAATCAAATATATTCAGTGCATCACTTTCCTTTATAGTAAATAGTGAATAGCATTTTGAACACAGTGTAAAACTAACTGTGTAGATCCATTTAAGGCTTTTTATTAAGCTGTACTGTGTGAGATTCAACCCTCCTCCATCTGTTGCTAGACTGTTCTGCTATCCTGCAGCTCTCAGCTGTCAGTCCTTATATGACGATAGAACAGAGTGGGTCTGACTATCATAATGCACTAATGTTCACTGAGAAGCTGAATTTTGGGCTGATTTCTTCTGATGAGCCAGAAGTAAAAGCAGGAACTTGGGGAGAAATTAGTCAATGTAGTTGAAGCAGATTTTCAATAAAAGGATCTTAGCTAAGTTACTACAAGCAGCAACACCGCTAGGTTGCAATTACTTTGTTGCTACATAGCTACTTCAAACATTTGAATTTTCAATGTAATTGATGTATTTTTAACCCTTACAATTCATTGTGTTTTCTTGTTTTATCATACTGTTTAAATGCAAATGCGTATGTAATCTCATGTTTACAATATAAATTACATTTGCATTAGGGACCAAAAGTCTGAGGCCACTAGTGAAAATGGGTCTATTTTGCATTCTTTTGTGATTTAATAAATTTTTTTCATTACAAATTATGTTATCAACATAACAATCTGAGTGAACAGTGGAATCTGTGAAATATTTACATTTTAAAAAATATATATTTTCAGAATGTCTTAGTGTTTGTCCTCTATTTGTTTTAATGACAGTCTGTGCTCAAGCTATGATTATTAACAATGACGAAAGCCTCTGATAACAAGATCAGATCCACTTGAGAGTCATCTGAGCATGAGCTTTGGTGGAAGAGATAGGACTGAAAAAAACCCCAATAAAACCAAAACTTGACTTCATGTACAGAGGTCCTAACATGGCCAGTGACACAAATTTGCTTAAATTTGAATAGTGAGTTAGAAACAGTGCAGAGTAGTCAATTTTATCATAAATTTTCTTTGTTTAATTTTTTATTCAAAATTGTAAATCGTTTTGTTGTTTATTTCTGTGTTTAAATGAAAACAACCCTAGATTTTCAACGTGGTCTCAGGTGTAGCCCACTGTACATTTAATTGTACTTATATTTACATCTATGAGACTGTGATTACATAATTTCATAATTACACTCATGAGACTGCTTGCACAACAATAACCATTTATCACAATCAAATCATAATATCTCTTCAACTACTTACAAACACAAAGGAAAGTATACAAAAGTATACAAGTGAGAAATAATTCATATAAAATTGCAACATCACCAGCGAGGGGTTAGCTAAAGGCAAGGAGTAGCTTCCTCAATGCATTTGATTTCAAAGTATAAGGTAAAGACTGATACAATCATGTTCTACAGAAACTCCTTCACACCATTAAAATGGCTGACCTATTTTCCAGTCCATCTTTATTTATGTATATTTCTCTGCCTAAGAAATGCTTGAAATGACAAAAGACAGCAACATAGAAAAAGCACTGTGAAACCTGAAACTCAAGTACCAATTTTTGCACTGTACAACACTTCTGTGGTGAATTTGTGTGTCTTCTACTCACCCACAGCGTCAGCCCCCAGCAGCTGAAGCACTTTACACTCTGCTATGGTCTCGAAGGTGGGTCCAGCCAGCATGCAGTAGACTCCCTCCTGAAGAAAAGAGGAGCAGCCTTGCTCCTCGGCCGTCTGCTTGGTCAGCTGGGCCAAGGCTTTATCATATGCGTCTGACATGCAGGGAAAACGCACCCCAAACCTGCACATACACAACAACTACAGCTTAGTTATGCACGCTCCTCTATTAGAAATAATCAGACCACAGTAATAGCTGTGCACAGTGCTACCCTTTAAAGCAGAGGTGCATATTCATAGCACAATAGAGGAACCAAGAGTCTAACATCAAGAAGGTTCTGAATTATTTATTCAGATTCGTGGAATGCAATGCAGCATTTTTACACATGATTAGATCCACTGTATAGTTTTAAGTGCCCTCTCCTTTAATATTTTCAATTTTGATCTTTTTTATGCAGTCAAGCTTTCCACAGTTTGTTGTCAGACCCTGGAAGAGCTCAGTTGAATGCTGTGAGGCATTTAAAATGTGTTACAGAAAAGTGTTTAACAAGTGTGTAAAATGATTCTCATATGTTAGTGTGCAACTTCACAGATTCCAGGCAATAATTGTTGGGAAAGGGGTTAAAAGATACAGACAAAACAGAACTCCTTTCAACTCCTTACAGCAGGTAAACAGTACTTAGGGCTTTCATGTTTGCACTGAAACATGATTCAAATGTGTACACTGGTTCCACATGAATAAAATCAATTATATCCACACAGTTCTTGTCAAAAGTAAAATTAACAACAGTAAAATGTTTTAATTTATTTTATCCACATGGAAGTGTAGGAGATGGGAGAAAGTCAAGCTCCACTCTTGCTTCAGATCTGAAAAAAACATCAACCGGGTTTCTGTCCATCTTTCCACTGTGAGAAGACAACATAATGCTATGGCTCTGAAAAGATGTGTTTCGTTTACTGAGCTGTTACTGAAAAAAGACAATAGACAAAAAAGAGGGAAATATGCAAATATGCAAAACAAAAAAAGCTGCCTGTGTTCTCAGAACCTCAACGTCACTGAAGGTATTCGGAATTAATTGGATTGTGAGAAGCTGAAAATGCAACCAACTAAGTCTAACACTGAACTTTGGAGGTGTGGAACATGTCCCTGCACATTCCTTTGAAAAACTGAAAGCAAGAATGGAAGCAAATCAAAAGAATGGAGAGGCAAAGCATAGACAAACTTCTGATTGGTAGTATATTAGTGGTATATTGGTAGTATATTATTCCATATGTCAGCAGAAGACAGAAAACTGTGCTGTGATGTGCTGCTGTCCACTAAGAAAACTGTGAATTTCCAACTGGCATGATTCCTCTTAATGAACAGTGAGTAAAAATGAGTTGAGAATCAAGTTATTATTTTCAATAATAGTAGGGTCCTGAAAGATGGATATATCTACAGTCATGTGAGGTAGTGTGCATCATGCTTTTTCAGTTCAACAGAATCTCACTTTTCTTCATTTTGGCCACACAGAGGATTCTGGCCTGCAAAGCCAGGGAAGTTGATGTGGTCTTTGATCATCATAATGTCTCCAACATTAAACTTTGAGTTTATTCCTCCAGCAGCATTTGTAACGATCAGGGTCTCCACCCCGAGGAGGAAGAACACACGCACTGGATACGTTACCTGGGAGAAAGAGGGAGTAAGACTGGATCAGAAAGAGTAAAAGTCAAATTGATTTTGATCACTTTGTCAATAAAACAATCATTACAATTAAACAGAATGTTTATATATATGTAAATATATAAATTTGTGTGGGTGTGTGTGTGTTTGTATACACCATATGGACAAATGTATATGGACACCTACACACTTCACCTACAGGAGCTTTTGTGACATCACATTCTATATTCATGGGCAATAATATGGAGTTGATCCCCCTTTGCAGCTATAACAGCTTCCATTCTTCTGGGAAGCTTTCTACAAGATTTTGGAGTGTGTCTGTGGGAATTTTTGTCCCTTCATTAAGAAGAGCATTTGTTTGGTCAGACACTAATGTTGGACGAGAGGTCCTGCCTCGCAATCTCCATTCTAGTTCATCCCAAAGGTGTTCAGTGGGGTTGAGGTCAGGGGTCTGTGTGGGCCAGTCAAGTTCTTCCACACCAAACTCACCCAGCCATGCTTTTATGGCCCTTGCTTTGGGCACTGGGGCTAAGTCATGCTGGAACAGAAAGAGCAAACTGGTCCCACTAAGTTGGAAGCATACAATTGTCCAAAATGACTTGGTCTGCTGAATCATTAAGATTTCCCTTTGCTGGAACTAAGGGGTCTAGCCCAACCCCTGAAAAACAACCCCATAGCATTATCCCTCCTCCACCAAACTTTACAGTTGTCACAATGCAGTCAGGCAGGTAATGTTCTCCTGGCATTCGCCAAACCCAGACTCGTCCATGAGACTGCCAGATAGACAAGCGTGATTCGTCACTCCACAGATTCGTTTCCACTGCATCAAAGTCCAGTGGCGGCATTGTGCTTGGTGATGTAAGGCTTGCATGCAGCTGCTCGGCCATGGAAACCCTTGTCATGAAGCTCCCAGCACAGTTTTTGTGCTGATGTTAATCCCAGAGGAGGTTTAGAACTCTGCAGTTATTGAATCAGCAGAGCGTTGGTGACTTTTATGCACTATGTGCCTCAGCACTCGGCAACCCGCTCTGTAACTTAACGTGGTCTGACACTTCGTGGCTGAGTTGCTGTTGTTCCTAAACGCTTCCACTTTTCAATAATGCCATTCACAGTTGATCATGGAATATCTAGGAGGGAAGAAATTTCACAAACTGACTTATCGCAACGATGGCATCATGTTACAGTAACACGCTCAAATTCAGTGTGCTCTTTAAAATGACCCATTCCTTCACAAATGTTTGTAAAGGCAGACTGCATGGATAGGTGCTTGATTTTATACACATGTGGCAAAGGAACTGAGTGAAACACCTGAGTTCAATGATTAAGAGGTGTGTCCCAATACTTTGCTCCATATAGTGTGAGTGTGTGTGTGTGTGTGTGTATTGTTGTCACAATATAGCAGAACAGTGGATTCAGATGAAATACATTGTCATTTTAAACCCGCTCTTAATCCAAAATGTGTTCATGATTTATCACGTCTGAAGAACATATAAATATTTATAACACAAACCTCTGTCATATACAGACATTTGTGTGAACAACAATGGACAACACTATGAAAACTTGTTGTAAAGTGGGATTTACAATGATTTTTTCAAAATCTCAGCATAATTCAGTTAAGATGTAAACAAAGTTATTAAGAGTGGTTTGAAGTGAAATGGTGTGTTATACAGAAACTTGTGGACCCCAATTACTTTGCAATGGTGGTGATAGGAAGCAGGGGTCGCAATCTTTACAACAGGAATATGGACATTTTATTTATTATCCGAAACCACCTGCGAACCTACACGTCTTCATGTTTTTATGTGTAATGTTAACGATTGCAACATAGTGGTAAATCTGAAAAAAACATTTTCTTTAAGGCCTTTTTTGCTTTACAATGCCTTGCATGTATGTCTCCACCATTAACAGATCTCGAAACTATCATATCAATGTCAACAACAACGTCTTGGGCATCAGGCAGTGTTTTCAGTACCATTTCATGTAGTAGTTTTCTGTGAGGGAGCTTTCAGAAACATCAAACTCTTCAGACGTCTGGTTCCTATCACCAACACTGTGAACAATTCTGAATAGGTAAGTTTCTCTCTAAAAGGGCATTTCTCATGAAACCACTCTGAATGACTTTATTTAATTTCTAGCCATTTATTTATGCAGACCTTCAGAGGAATTTGTGGAATTCCCCTTTAATGATCTTCTGTGAGTTTCATATGTGTGGATGTCATGTTACAAGCTTTCGATCTGATATACTGGGCGATTCTGAGGAACAGTCAACATTATCAAAATGCTTCTTCCTGCTATAGCTGAGGAGAGGAAGGACTCACGTTATCTTGCAGATCTTGCGGAGGCATCCACTGATGAGCACAAACAAAGGCTTAAACCAGCACTTTGTCTGTTGTCTCAAATCACGTTTGAAAATGTTAGTGGGAAACGTTTAACTACAGATCATAGTTCAAGAGTGAGAAAAGGTCATCTGGTCTTAAGAGTTCAGGAGCGACATTACTGGATTGAGGTGTCCATAGTCAAAGGTTAACCATCTACTTTCTCTAAGCTACACTCATCTTCCTGATACTCCGGCTATGGAAGCCTTAAGGGTCAATGGTTAGATACAGAATAACCTTTGTGTCAGTCTTGAGGTTTATGATTGTCAGAAGAAAGTGTCAACTGATGAATTATTGTCTATCAGTGTGCACTGTCTAGGATTTCGAGGGCTAGATTTTAACCTAAGAAGGCAATCTTGCTTCGTCTTCAGTATTTACAATTTTCCTATTGCAGTATGATTTGTTCACAGTTTAGCAGTTAACAGATCACAGTCTTCTGTATGAATGCTCCTAACAGCATTCATTTAAGTCCAGGAAGTTTGTGTATAACATCTCGGATGCTCATCAATCAAGCCTTCAATGAAGGTTGTGTGAATAATTTTGATTAATGCAGTATGTCATTTAGACTACTGCATCTTAGAAAATGTGCAAATTACCATTTAGCCTCATACATGCCTCTGCTGCAACTTTCATTTTTGTGCTGCAGTTTGTCAGTCATAAACAAAATAATTTAATCTCAGACAAGATGATGCAACAGACACTGGGCTAATATAAAAGGTGAATCACAAGTATATGACATTTGATTGTGTAGCTGATAACATTTTACAAATCCCACATTGTCATAAACCTCTCAAACAGCCCTTTCCTGTAATTGGTAGGTAAGTGCAATTAAATGTAAAGAATGTCCATAACTTTCATTTCTAGGTCTAAAAATAAGACTAAATATTGTCAGAACAAAACCTTTTCAGGAGAAAGAAGGGTAACACACATATATATATATATATATATATATGATTTTGGACTTTTATGTTGGCCTAACAGCAACCATTTTCAAATAAATAAAATACAATAAAATAAATGGAGTTTTGAGTTCATGGAATGACAGTGACAATATGCATTCATCAAATATTCACACTAAGCACTGGTCCTGGGTTGATATTCCCAAAGCAATGGTCCTTTAGCTGATCTAGGATCAGACTCCTTCCCTGCTTAAGTTGATCTTGGTCCCAAAATTAATCCCAGAGCAGAAATCTTCCTATGAGATTTTTGTTTACCATCTTTAAAATTCACCCTGTTGTACTCTTCATTTTCTATTCGTGGTCAGCTTGCTCTCATATTTTTGTTATCTTGCCAATTTACAGGTCTGGGAAGACGTTTGGTCCTATAATTAGAGCCCATATTTACCAAGTCTCTCCGAGTTGATTTATGATTAATTTTTGCCCTTCAAATCTTAACTTGAATGAGAAAGTTCAAAACCAGATTAAAGTTGGCTTGACTAAGCCATTTCTGTGGAATCCCAGGTGGTTGCTAGGTACTGCTGGGATGTTGCTGTGGCCTCCCAGGTGGTTGCTAGGTACTGCTGGGATGTTGCTGTGGCCTCCCAAGTGGTTGCTAAAGTTATGCTAGGCTAATGCTATGGTATCCTAGGTGGTTGCTAAGGTGTTGCTTGGCCATTGCTCCATTATTCCATGTAGTTGCTAAGGTGTTCTGCCATTGCTGTAAAATATTGTATAACAAAGTTTCATGGTTCTGGCTCAAAAACTGCAACTAGAAAAATAAAACAGAACAGTAAGCCAACTTAATTAGGGTTGGAGAGTAAAAGTATATGCATACTTAAATACTTCAATAGAATATTTGTATTGCAATTAATTACTTATACTTTTGAAGACTTCACTTAAAATTAAAAGATGAATCCTACTCAATGGAGTGCTGTGTTTCAACATTATGCTTGCATATTGTTTTGCAGAGCTCATAAACTATAAACCTAAGATCAGGGATGGGGGAGTAGCTAAGTAGTGCGTTACATTTTGTAGCTAACTACAATTTTTTGTAGCTAATAGCTGTAGCCACAACAGTTTTATGAAATGTAGCTAATAGCTGTAGCGCCTACAAATTTTTGTGTAGCTATAGCGATGATTTTCACAACAGGCTTCAGGCAATCCGCGCAAAATCTGAACCATAGAGCGCAGTCATTAACTGGGCTAGCGGCGATTGTGCAATCCAGACTGAGCCGCGGACAGTTCAAGCAAACGGGCACGCACTGATCACCCCTTACTGGTAGGCTTAGCTCAGGGGTCGCAACTGAAATGTTAAGGAGAGCCATTTTGTCCTTTCAACAAAAATGAGACCACCTTTGGAGCCACAACATTTTGTGTCCGTTTTACCATCATGGCTCTAAACATGTCTCAGTATGTGCTAAAGTGCTAGAAATAATTAAAAATATAATATAAACGAAAACTCAGACTTTAACCTTTGGTTCAGCTGTAGCCGCTTTTCGCATCTCAATCAAGAAACTTTTCCGCAACATTCAACTTTTCATGAATGAGGCTTCTCATTCGCCAGCTCCTTGTTCAAATTGTCCCGTTCCACCTTACACGGTGCCTGAGGCGCTAGAATGCAACTGCTGCACCATTTAAGGTGGAATGGGACAATTCAAACAAGAAGCTGGGGAAAGAGAAGCTGCAGCCTTGCGACTTAGTGTTTGACAGTTTCTCGCTGCAGATTAAACATATCAGGAAACCAGCTGGAGTGCTCTTAAATGCAGATAAATCCATTCGTCTACAAATTATCGATGTTCATCCTAAATCTCTCTCTTTGCTGTTTCATTAGCTACGAGCTAGGCAAGATTGTTATCTGTTATCTGTTTAAGAGTCTGCGTGCCAACCTTCAGCGTTAAAGGTTGGTGAATTAGCAGTTATGAGTTAACTCCAGCATTTAAGACCATTTATTGTGAAAACTGTGTGTTATAACAATTTTACAGCAAAAGAGGATTATGCAATTTTACCTAAAAATCTAGTTCTGCTGTGGAGCTGCAACATCTCTGCAGCAGTGGAGAGATTATTCAGGCCTGATTCTCACCCCAAATAGAGCCAGGGTCACTGATGAGAATTTTGAGGCTAAAGTGTCGCTAAAGCATTGTTGAACAGGACTCTGAATGTCATGTCTGTATATCTTGCTGAAATGTTTACATTGGAGCAGTTTTATTTGAACAGTTGACAAAGTTGATAAAATTGTTTGGTTTGTATTTGGTTATTCTTGTTGATTTTTGTTAGGAAATTGACTGGAATGATTGACTTTACCTTTAATCTAAATTTTTGTTGGATATCACGCCTTTGGTTCTGTAAGTTTGATTGTTGGTTACACTTAAACTTACCTTTTGGTGATCTTTTTGTATATTTGCAGCTTTTCAGTTGTATGTTTCTTTCTGGCACATGATTAATTCAGTGTCTTGTTCACACTGTCAGTTGGGCTTGTTTGGTGTGTCAGGTGGAGATTCACAAACATTCTGACAATCGCGCTTTGAAAGTAGCTAAAATGTAGTGCACTACTTTTCAAAAAGTAGCTAAGAAGTAGCCACTACTTTTTCTGAAAAAGTAGCTAAATTGTAGTTGGCTACAAATTTTGGGGAAGTAGTTACAAAGTATCGAACTATTAATTTTCCAGTGGCTATCTCAAACCTGCCTAAGATCAGAGTGAACTACAAGAGAAAGTGCCAGGCAGAAAATGACTTAGACTCAAACATTGCATTTAAATTCATTCTAAAATTTAAATAAACTACATTTATTTCACATTATTTTGCTAGACTTAATTTTACTTGTTCTTTATACTTAGATTCATTGTTGTGCAGATATTTTAATACATTAATCCAAGTGGATTGTAGGATGTTGGACGTTCAGGTTTACCAGAGTAATAGTCCACCAGGCTGTTTGTTTTAACCCTGGTGAAGGATTTGTGTATTTCCTCCACTGCTGATGCAGACACAGAAGCCTGAATCTCAGGTCAGATTTCTTTCTCTGGCAATGCCCAGGTTCTTATAAATGACCCATGCTTCTCAGCAGACTTTGGAAGGACTGTGCTGCACAAGGTTGCAATTCATTTGCTTAAATCCATACTCTGATTTTAGATCTTTAATCCAAATCTGACTGAAACTTGTGCCTGGATTTAACTTCTAAAGGCCCCATGTCTTAACTTCAGACTTTGCTTTGTATCTGCAAACTAGAAAAAGACACGTCTATGTTTTCAAAATAAAGGTTAACCCTTTAAGTTCAATGTAAGTGGTCATTTCGAATGTTTCATCTACTCTTCTCTGCTAATAACATTTCTTAATGCTTATTGTTCCTTTATATTAGTTTCTATAGATAACTAGTAGCCAGCTAGCTAATGCTAAATGCCACGACATCAGCTTAGTATGAGCAGCTAATGGAAGCTGCCTCACTAAGCTAATTCAAATTCACACTACATACAATTTCTATTCTGTTTTTTAAAACAATAACATTACAAAATGGCTGGAATGCTGTACTGCTTGTGTTGGCCTTGGTTCAAGGCCTCCACCATCAGTAGCAGTAGCTAGATGTAACAACATAGCTTTTTCCTAGGATTTTAATGTGATTTAAAAACACAGCAAGAATGACTATTGCTTTCTCAATGGTTTAGCAATAATGTGTAGGTTTAGTCTGCCTCTTTAGCATACTGAAGAATGACATAAATAAATCATTTTTTAAGATTTTATATATTTTCTTTTATCTATATATGTTTATTTTTATCTATGTTTTATTTATGTATTTATCTTTATTTTGGCACATTTCATCAAAAGATTCTGAATGTATTACCAAACAATGTCAAATTAGAGAAAAGCTACAAGTGGAGCTAAAAGCTTCTTCCAATTTCTTTGACAGTTACCACATATTGATTGCAGTTTAGTAGCATGCAAAAGCATGGGAACCCCTCATCAGCCCCTGGTCAGCCCCTGGTGATTTTCTTTGTGAAAACACGCACACATCCTCTACACAGAACACTCTTGCACATTTTAATGCAGTTTCTGTTGATTTACTGAATGTAATTTATTGGGGGTAACAATTTAACATTTTCACGTTTTTGTTAACAAATAAATAAAAATAATGCATTAAATTGGCAGAAAAAAATGCTAATTTTAAGCTTTTTCACTGTAGAGGATGTGTTAACTTATTTTCACTTAGAAAATCACAACTGTACGTGGTTGTTTGAATGGGTGCCACAGCGTGTATGAATGTGTAAGGGGGGTCCAGAAACTTCTATTCCTGCGCTTCATTTTCAGTGCAGAATTCCTTTGCTCAGGTGTGTGTAACAATGCAACTGTCATAAATTCCAGATAGAAAACACCTCTCGTGACAGCCCTTGTGAAACACTTTTTCCTCTACCCAGGCCTCTTGGGAACCTTTAAATGAAAAGCAGTAAAGTAATTAAATAGCTGCTGTCTATGAATAACTCTTGCTCTTGTAGATTTGCTATCACTCCTTCGCATTGAACTTTGCTGAAGTCTTTTGTTTTGCACATCTTCTGCTATCCCTGCTGGACAGATGGGCTGATGGGGCATAGTTACGGTAAATGAGGAAGATACTCACTGTAGCAGTGCTGTAGCCTTCGTAGAAGTGGAAGCGGCCCTGCATGCACACACACTGCTTCCCTTTCAGCCCCCCGAAGACCAGCTGACCCGCATGCCCTTCCACTGAAGAGACAGAGAGACGGATTAATTAATGGTTGCAAATGTAAGTAGTTATCAGACATACAATAAGGTGAAGGGGGCAAAGTTGGACTGTTATTCCATTCACTCTTGATTAGTTCGCACATTATTACTCCAAATAAAGTTGTGACACTATACAGATATATTAGAGACCTGTGCAGCCGAGGGCATCATTCTATACATACTGCTGTACTGGCAACCCCTCTCCACACTGAATATGAATGAAGTAGGAATGATTGTCTATGGACGTAATTTCAATACTTTATCATTTAATGCAGATATAACAAAAATGCCAAGTTAATAAATTTTTGTTTTCAACAGTAACCAATTTTAGGGTTCTAGCAAGACATTTGACATGTATCAATGTAAAAGCTTTACTTTACTTTAAATATTAAGAGATACGGTAGCTTGTGCAAGTATCATCTACGAATACTCGAAGAATCATTAAATAAATTAGCTAGCAAATTTGCAAATTTTCTCTGCAAATATTAGCTGAACTTATTAGCTTATGACTTTTTATGACAATTTATTTGTTTAGCTCAGTGAGTAATGATCCTGGGCAGCTTACACATATGTGTAATTTATAAGAAACTACAGTTCACTATTTATTATTGGCTCAGTTGTTAAGACTATTTTTAAACTTTTAAAATGAAAAAAATGCATTGTGTTACAGCATATCAGATGTTATTTTCTGTAGAAAACAGAAAAGAACCTTAGATTATATTACATACACTCTTAAAAAGATGGTTCTTCAAGGGGTTTTGGGTTCTTTAGTAAAGACAATGGTTCTATATAGAGCCATGAACACTCAAAGAACAATTTGCATGCTTCAAGGGTTCTTTGTATGGTGAATAGGTTCTTCAGATTGATAGAGAATGTGTTGAATGTGGTTCCATATAGAACCTTTTTGAACATAGTTTGAGGGGGTTGAGGTTGGAGAGAGGTTGGACAGCTCTTCTGCTGAAACAATTCTCCTCTTAAAGGAGCAAACACCTGCCCCACAGCGAGGTGGAAGCCAATGTCAAAGAAATTTTGGAGTGGCATCTGGGGAGGCCAATCAGATTTCAGGGAGGACACTGGCGACCCCAACCACCCATTTAAAACTGTATATAAAACCATATACAACACATTTTCCATCAGTCTGAAGAACCATTTCACAACGCAAAGAACCATTTAAGCATGCAAATGGTTCTTTCAGTGTTTGTGGTTCTATATAGAAGCACTGTCTTTACTAAAGAACCATTGAAGAAACAAAGAGTGTATCTTAGAGAAAAACACCTTTACAAATCAACATTTACTTCTAGGTAGTATTTGCTACTGATACATATACTGTAGCCCTAAAAAGTATTTGGACACTTTAAACATTGGTAATCATTAATGAAGTTATATCAGTTACTTCATAAAATGTTTAACAAAATAATATGTGTTTCAGAGAGAAACATTTTAGTCCAACATTAAACTGATAGTAGAATCTTTGCTTGAATTTCAACAAGACTGCAGTAAGAATACTGTAAAGCACAGTGTTCACTGATGGGATCTTGAACTCAGAAAAGAACAAAGCTGTTTTGGATGAAAACCTACAGAGGAAATAACAGCATTGGAATGCTCTGTTTAAAAAATGCCACTTGATTTTGTTTCCTAACACAATAACTTATTACTGTGGTGTCAAACTAAATGTAAGAATTTATTAACCTCATTCATTTTTTATACTATGAACTTGTTTTTCTAGTTTAACCCTTTGAACCATCTGTAATTCCAGCCTAAAGCCCAGCTACTCACATGCTTTTGCTATGACTCTGCAATTGTAGGTCTCTTGTTCAAATACAGCTTTTAAATGGCGAGTTCCATTGGTGGCTGTCTTGATAAAAAGAATAGTCATATCCAGTTACTGCCATAGAAACAGTGTGCATTGTGTCATCGGAGGGAAAGCCACACCCCACGTGGAAGAAAACATTCCACAAGTTTTAAAAGGGAGTGAATGAGAAATTGCAGGACACGGCATCTTAAATCAACTTTAACATAAAATGTCAACACCAGCCTATTTCAATACCCATCCACTTGATGAAAGGGCTAGATATGTAGCTAGAGAAACTATTACCATTACCTTCATTATTATCTAGCTAGCAAGCTAACCTAGAGAAAGCTAAGGTAGCAAGAATCTAAACAGCTTAACTAACTACTTAATGAAGTATTGGATACTACCTGACAAAAAATGTTCATTGCACACCTAGACGTGGATACTATCAGCATCCCAAAAGTCCCTGTCTGTTGATAGCATAAGCCAACTATGATGTCTTTTTGGCTCCGTTTTGCATCTTGGAATCCTGTAAAACCTTAAATCACGTTTTTGATCTTATTTGTCACACAACTCACAATGCAACAGCTTTTTGGCATATTTGCAATTTTAATTCAAAATCAATAAAGAGAAGTGAGCCATGCAAATCAATGGGAAGTGCAGAGTTGTTTTCCCCCCACAGTGTGGGCGTGGCCTAAATGTGCACTGTCTCTATGGTGAATTTGTTTATCACTGAAGGATGTCTAGTCATAGGTAATCAAAACACTGCACTGGTATGGCAATATCAGTAATATCAGTAACATAGGCACCGGAGAACACCTGGAGGGCCCAGTGGTTTCCAACACTGGTCCTGGAGAGCTACTTTTCTTCAGAGTTTAGTTCCAACCTGTATCCAATAAGCTGCCCTGCCATTTACTTAACTCTAGTACATCTGATCCAGCCATCGGGGACTTGGGAAGAGGTAGATTAGCTTGAGCAGCAAATTGTGGGTGGAACTGAGCTCTGCAGGAAGTTAGCTCTCCAAAACCAGGGTTGGAAACCACAGCCTTCGGCTGACTAAGCTGATCAATGCTTGCGAGAGAACTATGGATAAATCAACTAACAGCAAACTAACAAAAGCAACAACAAAGTGGAAAATTACAGTTCCCCTCAAAACAAGACGTAACATAGCACTATGGGATCGAGACGGCCACAGTTGCAGAGGAGTTGGAGCATGTAGCCACTGTTGCTCTCACTAGACATCAGTGATAAAAACTGGAATTCACCCTATGGAAATCATGAAATTTTCATGTTCAGCCCTGTGTTCACATGACAAAAATAATAATAATAAAAAATAATGTAACTGAATTACTAAAAAGAATAAGTATATTCTGATTAAGCTTTCTTGTCCAATCATGTATTAAAATAAAAAAAAACACTGATTTTAAATAAAAAAAAACTTTCTTTAGAGTCAATGAGACAAATGTGACTTATCATGATTAACTATACAAAATAATGTGATTAATTTTGATTATTTGTTTTAAAAGTTTGACAGCCCTAGCTCAAATTATTTTAGGGCCATTGTATGAGTGCTTTGCTAAGCTTAATTCTGACAAACGAGAGTTCAGAGAAAGCAGACAGAAATCTCCAGTGCATGTTCAGATGTTGATTAACTGTGGCTGTGTGTTAATATGTTAACATGAAAGAGATCTGACTTGCCTTTACAAGGGACTGTCACAATGACATAACAGCACACAGAATTACATTTGTTTCTTTCAAACAACACCCACTCTTCACATCAAAAAGTTGTTTCAGGAAGAGAAACAACACAACAGGAAATCCCAAGCTAAAACAAATTAGATAATGCTGTTGCAAACTAAATCTTGAGGATTGTGACCAGTAATCAGCCTGAGATCACAAACTGTCAGCCCACTTCCACCTACCTGTACTGCGAGGGAAATTGGGGATGTCCTTATAAGGAAACGCAGTCTTGTTGTCCAGCAAATCGGCCAGTCCTCCGAGGCCTGTGCCACAGATGATTGCCACTTTGGGCCGGATGTGTGTATGAGCCAGCAACCAGTCCGCTGTCTCTTTGTACTGCTCATACGTATAGCTAGAGACAGAAAAAGCCATCATTTCCATTATTAAACCTGATATATACTCAATCTTGAGTTCCAGAGTTACAAGCACACCGCTTTTCGTGAGAAGTGTGCACTCAGGGCTAGGTTTTAGTGCAATCTGTGCTCTCACTCAGGGTGCATGAAGCATGAGGACTGACGAGTTGTGCCGAGCATATAAGGTGCCAGTATAGCCTCAATTGTAGTTGACTGACTGGTGGTTAAGAAGCACATAATGTAGCTGTCAGTAACATCTAGTTTACACCCATTCTCCAACCCCCACCCACACACCAACACATGCGCACACAAACGCTCCCAAAATGCACCAAGACTCTACAGAGAAATGAGCTGTCAACTGCAGTGACCCTATCAAGTCCTCTTGGCAGTTTCATAGAGAAAAAAGAATAGGCTTAGGTACAAGCCAGGAGAACAGCACTTACAACACAGATAAATAGACCAGAACTCAGTGGAACTCAATGGAAGAATATTTAACCCCATTCTATTCTATTCTATTCTATTCTATTCTATTCTATTCTATTCTAGTTAAGAACACTGAAGAGTATATTCAGTCCGCCCCCATTAAATGATCACTAAGTTGCTGTAGCTCAGTATTGTTCTCTCTATGTACTCGATTGAAACCACTCTGTTTATAAGTGACCGTAGCCATGCAAACAGAACAATAGGCATGTGATTAAAAAGGTAGGAAGACACATGCACTGCTTCAGTAATTGATTAATGTTGCAAAATAGATTTTTAATTTCAATATGACTACCCCGGTTAATTCAAGGTAAAATAAAAAATAGTACTGGTAAAAGTAATAGTAGTAATAGTAACAATAGTGGTAGAAATGGTAGTATTTATAGTAGTAGTAATAGTAGTAGGAGGAGTAGTCATAGTAATTGTAATAGCAGTGATAGTAATATTAATAGTAGCAATAGTAGAAGAAGTAATAGTAACTATTCTCCTGAGCTGAAGACTTTGTGTTAAACAGTGACATGTGATATGTAATAAAACCAGATTTTGAGGTAAGAAAATAAAACCTATATTATATCTTGGTAAGCACTCATATTAATGGAGGTTAAGTGTGGTCTAAATCAGCAGTTTCTCTAGGTTAATCCTATGTGAAAATCTAGCAGTACCATGATGACCAGGATATGGTGCGTCTCGTAACACACAACATAATGGAGAGAAACTTACCAAAGAACAATAGGCCCTCTAGTATTTCTTACATGAATCCACTCAGGAAAGATAAACTTTAACTCTTGTAAACTTTAACTTAGTGTAAATTTGACTTCATCCTACTTTATCTGCAGCTTCTCTCTTTAAATAACACAAATAAATGATGTAACGTGTTTAAAATGTTTTGGTTCCTGCTTTGAAGAGAGATAAAGGGACTTTTTTTTCATGTCTTTTACCTCAGTAAATTCTCATCCTTCACCTACTGTTACAATCTACCCCACAAACTTTCTGCATACCAATTTGCTCAATTTGTGAGTAAACAGTAGCTTTCTATACTATTAATATTTGCAACAGTTAAATATGCGTATCTTGTATGAAAGTTTGAAATGTACAGCACAAACACTAAGCACAAACACTAAGTTATAGAGACTGGTACAACTACTGTTACAGTCCTCCCTGGTCTCTCCTAGTAGTAGTAATAGTGGTAGTAGTGAAAGTGGTAGTAATAGCAGTAGTAGTGAAAGTGGTAGTAATAGTAGTAGTGAAAGGGGTAGTAATAGTAGTAGTAGTGAAAGTGGTAGTCATAGTAGTAGTAAATGTGGTAGCAATAGTATTAGTAGTGAAAGTGGTAGTAACAGTAGTAGTAGTAGTGAACATGGTAGTAGTAGTAGTGAAAGTGGTAGTAATAGTAGTAGTAGTGAAAGTGGTAGTCATAGTAGTGGTAAATGTGGTAGTAATAGTATTAGTAGTGAAAGTGGTAGTAACAGTAGTAGTAGTAGTGAACATGGTCGTAGTAGTAGTGAAAGTGGTAGTAATAGTAGTAGTAGTGAAAGTGGTAGCAATAGTTGTAGTAGTGAAGTGGCAGTAATAGTAGTAGTAGTGAAAGTGGTAGTAATAGTAGTGAAAGTGGTAGTGACAGCAGTAGTGGTAATACATGTAGTAATAGTAGTAACGTGTTTTGTGCCTTTAGTTGGATTCTCATCATTGAGACTATTTTAATAGTGACTGTATCTGAGCCCACTGTAATTGACCCCAGCGACCTGGTTGCTTATTCATAAGACAGTGTTCCAAAGGAAACGCATGCCTTTTGTTTTGTGCTCATAAATGCTCGTCCCCGTGTGATTTAGAAACCATAAAACTTCAGTCATCATAAACGTTTATCTCTGACTGTTTTACAGTCTGCTTTAAATCTAACTTGGGACTGGAGCAGCCAAACCTGGAGGCGAACTGGACAAGTGGAAACATAAAGCGTGTTTAAGTGTACAGACGGCCGAGTGCGTTTGGGGGCTGTGTTTGGTCGTGTTTATTCGAGCACCACTAGAGGCGATGTGAAATGGAGGCAGTGGGCTGGAGGAGGGGGGACGCTGTCCGTGGTGCTAACACACACACATACACACACACACACACACACACACACACACTGCGGCCTCAGCACTTTGGATTCAGGACAGATTTCACAAAGCTGAGCCTCTGACTGATCAACTGCGTGGTAAAAGCCCTCACATGGGACGATTACCAGCTGACCACGCCGGCCACTTCACTATTGCTATTGCTTTGGGCACACCTCTGACGCAAGGTTTTTGTTCAGCTTTCTGACCAAAACCTCAGAAATAGTCACAGTTTGAAGACTGTAGGCTGTTTTTCTCAATGACCACTTCAGCTGAATGTGGCCATATGTGCGCGTCCCCTTTAAGGGCGTGCTCCAGCCTCGGAGAGCAGCTATTCACGAAGCAGGCTAGTAATATATCGTTACGCTTAATGACTGTAATCAGGTGGCATTATGTTACCAAACTCTACAGTTTTGGTATTATAATATATTTGGATTGACAGCTAAACATTTATTTGTCATTTAATCATTTGTATGTTAGCTTTTTTGACGGGACTTGGACAACTATAGTCATCACAATCAGAATGGTGTTGTTTAGCAATGGCACATCAAATACGTCTCATATTTCACCAGGACAGAAAACGTAACTGAGCTCATTTAAAAATAAACTGACGTTTCGCGCGTCCTCGCATTTTGACCGTTACGTTGTGGTCTGGATTAAACCACACAGTCAGCAATAAACAGCGAGGAGCTTTTGCTTTCCACATCAGCCGTCGATCTCACTAGGTGCTCTTTTCTTTTATTATTACTGTTTATGTCGATGACTTAATACCTTGATTAGGAACAGATTCGTTATACAGGATAAATTCGTTTTACTGAACGCAGGTGGACTGTGACTGGTGCCTAATCTTACCTGCACTGGCTGGATGCTGACATGTCCGCAGCGGCTGGCGAGCGACCCAGTGAGGGGAAATGGCTAGTAAACTGAAGAAAAAAGAGCGGTTTAGACTCTGTGTAGCTCACCCTTACTCGCCGCTTACAGTAGCCTGCTTAGTGGAGCGGTCACACGCACATATATACGCCTCGGTGTGGAGGAGAGTGAGGTGGCGTGATGGAGGAGGAGCTGCCCGCCTCGCGGTTTCTTTGAAAGGGGCTCGTCGTGCTAATCCAATTTTCTGACAGACTGCGCCGCTCGCTGACCCGCGAGCAGAGAGCCTGGAGAACTGGAGAACTGTCAGCCGGCCAGCAAATACTTCAGCGCGGCCTCACCAGCACTGCAGCAGCATGGACATAACAAGTCAGCCCTTCAGCCTGCCCTGAGTAATGTGGCTAGTGTATTATACGGCCGATACTGATAATTACTAACAGTGGTATAGTATTTCCAGAGGTGACACTTACTCAGTTAGGCCTATATGTAACCTACTCAAGTAAAAGTCTGATGGATTTGTGCATTCTTGAATATTTTTAAATGTATAATAGTGTAACCTGACTTTTACATTTACAATGACATTTAACTAGTTCACATTTTGTTACTAATTGTTTTTTTTCTGTTTATTTTACTATGCTGCACTATTGCTTTGGTCACACCTCTGACTTGAGGACTATCGTCTATTTTTCAGCAAATTCTTTTTTAAACTACTATAAAACATGTAGGTTATACACAGTGAGAAAGTAAAGCGGGGGTCCGTAAATCATTTTTTGACTTGATGCTTTGGTACTACTACTAAGATATTTTTGAAAATGTACCTTTATTTCTATTTTCATTTATTTTTTTATTATTTCACTGAAATAAAAATACCATTACTTGTGGATTTAGGCTACTTTACCAACCTTTACCAACCTGCAAAACTGCATACTGCCATGCTAAATATTACAACATTACAACAACATTAACACAGAAACAAAAGATAAACAGATAGCTTAGTATATGCGTCCATATACATAGATACATGCACATCTATGCCTGCATACCCTTACTAACACAATGCTAACACAAAAAAATTGCTGGAGTTAACAGAGTGATGACATAGAAGGATTAATCTGCTGTCCTATCCTAGAATACATTACAGTATGGATACGTAGGCCTACACTATTAATACTGCTATTACTACTCTTAAAACTAAAGTTTCCTGAATTATATGAAATGTACATTATATGAAAGTTCTTTAAAGGTGCACTATGTAAGACTTCTTTTGTTAAAATTTAAAGAAGTAGCATTGCTGAGACAAAAGAAAAATAAACATGCTAAAATATGGCGTTTGTGCACTGCTGAGCCTTGTAGAGCCTGAAACAATCATTTTAAAGCCAGAGGAGTCAGATCAGGTTTTGCGGGAGTTTTGGGGCCACATCACATGCCTTTATGTATTAACGTCACACACAAAGACTTAATAAGAAGGTCCGATTCGATGTTTAGGTCTCATGTGCAAAATCATTATTATAGACCAAATCAGAATGTTTGTAAACACAAAGGTTGGCTGTACGTCTGAGTAAATACTTCACATCTACACTGTAAAAAAGGTCCTAATTTTACAGGAAAAAACCCTTAAATTTTTATGTTAATTTTCAGTTTATTTAAATTGTATACAAAACTCTGTAAAATTACGGACAACATCTGTAAATTAACAGCCCAACTGTTATTTTACGGATTCTGCCAATAATGACAAATTACATTTATTTCTCATTTTTTTTACAAAAAAATTACTGTATTATTTATACAGTATTTTTCTGTTTTTTAAAATTACATGCAAATTTCTGGAAAAAGACAATAATTATCTGTAATTAAATAAGTAGCACATTATATAAAGGTTTATGTCAATACTAACAAAAGTTTTTTCTTAGTACTTTTAAAATATATCTTATTAGTTTTACATTTTTGTATAATTTTACATTTTTTGCAAATTTATTTGACAAAAGTAAAACGAGTCCAGGCAGGAAGTAGTTGAAGCAGAATGATAAGGTCTAAGTCCTTTAGAGAAGCAACATGCTAGAAAGTTTCAACCCAGAGACAGCAGTAAAATTTTTGCCATATCTGATTTAGTGTGAACTTATCATTAGTTCCTGCTTGTTGATGGTAAAACTTGATTAACAGTGAGCACATTGCTGAAAATCGTGAGGTGGCCGGTGCTGGGGGACCCCCCATCATTCTAGCGATACTAGTGTCAAAGTAAACAAAAACGTTATTATTGAAAAAACAGTTTTCTCATCATGTCAAATGACTCTTGGACATTAATCTACACATTTATCTCTCCCAAAAAACATTGATTTTGGTGAGTAAAGTGCTTTCATTTATTTACAGTTAGCTTAGATTCCCGATGTTTTGTTTCGAGGTGGCCGATAACAGGGGTACCTACGCTACGTGAATCACGAACGAGTGATGTTCATCGCCCTCAGGGAGCTTAATTTGCGGTCTGTTCGCGTTTTATGATATAAACAGTGCGCTCTTTGGTTTTTGTTTAGTTCTCGTCTGTTCCGTGTGTTTTTTTTAGCACAGTGTGAAAGCGATATACTGTTAATATGCGTCCTGGACCGAAAAGCGCCAGGTCACTTAGCTCGCGGCTAACTGAAGTAGGTATCTAGTCTAGTGCCGGATTCCTCAAAAGCGGACTCTCAACGCGACGAACCAGCACGGCTCAGCGGATCGTTAAACTAACGAACATCCACCCCAAAACCACCGCAGGTCGGTCGGAGCACAGCAGTCTGAAACACGCTGACGTTACTTGTTTGAACCACAGCGGTTTTACTGCTGTCATTAATGTAATTTACAGTGAATAAACCCGTAAAACGCAGACGAACAGTAAAGTAACGTCTGCAGATAAAGTGGAACTTACTGAATCAGGAACGAGCATGAAAATGAAGCTTTTATGAAACCAATGAAAAGTAAAATTGACTAAAACACATGCCAGTCTAGGCCACAGCATTGAGGGTGGTTTACATCCGTTTAATTTCAGTAAATTTAAATATTTAGTCTGCAAAAAGATTGGTATCAGGAGGGACTGCATCCTAAAACGCCTGGTCATGTATTTGAACGAAGACCAGAGTCTTTAGAAATATTTGGTACGTTTATTATAATACAATTTGCATGTACAATATGTGTCAAGATATTAGGCATAAGTAGATATTCAGAATATCTCAAGACACCAGTGATTGCACCATGAAAATTACACTGTGTTATTTACAAATTGGTGGTAAAATTGCTGCATGTCATGTAATTAGAGAGAATAATAATTTACCAAAATATGCACTTTCACTAAATCTGTGCAATAACAGTAAAAACAAAAGTTTCATGAAGGTGGTGCTGTACAACATTTAGCACTGACAAAATGATGTTATGATTCCAATCGAATGATTCAGTACTTATTCACTTATTCAGCTTTATTAATTGCCATGATTAGATATGACCAGGAAGAGTCTTTGATTTAGTCTTTGATGATAGCATCTTAAAGTTCATTCTTGAAAGAAAACTGATGTCTAGAGCCATAAATATATAGCTTACTAAAGGTTTTCAGAGGGACTCAGACAAAGTTAACATGCCAGAACGTGATGAAAGTGTGCTTTAAAAATGATCATTTGATGGAGTGGCTGCATGTTCACCTTATCTGAGTCCCATTGGAATTTGAGATGCAGAATCTAAATCTATCTAAAGATGGATCACTGTAGGATCATTTTTGGCAATTACATCAGTGAATTAGCACTTTAACGTTCCTAATATTATTGGTACCAAATGAACAGCAGCTAACATTTGATTTTGATTGAATGTGAGCTGATGATGGTGAATAGCTAAGCTACAGTTATGTTTTTCACAAGCCTTGAAAATGCAGCCTTCTGCTTGTCCACTTCTCTCACCTGTCAGTGATTATGTGTTTGTATTTATGTTCAGGTCTGTCATTGGTGATGCAGAGAAGGACATGTGAGTGAACAATGGGGATTTACACAATTTGAAGAGATGGTAATGAGGACGATGCCGAGCTATGGGACATTGCCATTGTGATAGAGGTCAACAATCTTGGAAATGCATTCATCATGGTATTTGGGCTAATATATGACCTTGTTTTCAGCTTTCTGACAACTTGAGTTTGTTCAGAAGATATTGATGAATTTGGATGGACACAAGCTAAACAGAAAAATGTTCATAAGTGGTGGAAAGTAAGTTTCTTTGGATGTTCCGGCATTACAGCTCAGGTTAAATGTTCACCAAAAAACTGCATTGAGTCTTTATGCTCATGTTGGTTTTTGAAATTGTAGTTGTCTTCATGCTGACATTTGAAATGGCATTTTAAAGGAGTTGGTTTTGCACTGTAAATTCTTAACTGCACTTATGGTGGGATGTTAGTGTTAAGATATTAAACCCCTCAACATGACTTAGGTAGGAAAGCACCACCATGTTTATATTGCCTAATTTTCCTGTGTCATGTAGGGCTGAGAGCACTTTGTTTTGAATTTGAGCTAATGGTGGTAAATAGCTGAGCTACAGTTGTATTTTTAGTAAAGCCCAAACTTTTCTTGACACTATTTTTATATAAACTGAATCTGTTGAATCAGTCAATATTTGGTAAAAATTGCATTCCTTGTCTTACATCATTAGAATAACATAATTTAATATTTTATCTGCTTAATTTGTATAATTGACAGGTTGTTCAAGTTGTGACTTCTGGTCCATTATGTCTTATCTACTTCTAAAGTGCTTTATTTGGTGGGGGCACAAATTTGGCCCATTTTTAAGTGGGTAAAATAGATGTGAAACTTGGTCACTGCTTGAATTATTGTTGATGTCAATAAATGTACCTGAAGCAGATTTTCTCACTTGTGTCTATAAATAAGTTCAACAAAGGAATTTGATTGACATGATATATTCTGTCTCTGTCCAGTCAGTCTTTGCAAAATGGTAAAAGTGGCCAAAAAACTGTAAAATAAGTGTTTCTCTGCAAAAGTTTTAGTGCTATTATTTTTTAAAGGTGTTTGTAATAATTCGGAAAAAGTCTGTGAAATAACTGTTTCCCTGCAGAACTTTTAGTGCCTTTACTTTG